CTAAATCGTGATACGTCGGAAACAACATTCTATAAAGACTACCGTGATTGAAACACCCACATTATTTTACAACAAACGAATATTTACATTTTTTTACCTATTACGATTATATATAATAATATGTAATATAAATGGTATTTTATTAAAAAATATGTTTTAGTAATCTTATTATATTTAATAAATTGTATATTTCTTGAAATAATAAATGGTATATTTATCTGATTAATAAAATTATTTGTTTTATAAATTTGGTGAATATAGTAGGAGAGACTGCGGTTAGTCTAACCTATTTTTAAAAAATTGGCTATAGTTTCTGGTTATTTTTTACATAATATAAAAAATAAAATATGATTAGATACCGAAAACAATACTTTATAAAGGGGCCTTATAAAAAAATTTAAGAATATATTTATTTTTTTTAAATTTTATTTTTTGTAAAAATCAAATATATGTCAAACAATCCCCAATAGCGGGGTGAGGCAAACCACTTCAAGGGGCTTCCTAAACCATTGGTTTTTTAAGGCCATAATAAATTGAAATGTATTTTTATTTATTAATAATGTTACAAATAGAATAATTTTGTTGTATTGTAGTATATATCATATACTTATAAATTGAGGCTTATTTTATATAAAAATTGAAACTTAATTTTGGTTAATTTAATAAACATTTTGACATAAAAAATAAAGATCTTAAGGAGAGATTATGATAGCATAAATCCTAAACACCAATTATAAAATAGACATGAATTGCCTTTACAAGATTTTGAAATTTTTTTCATTATTAACTGCTTTAATTGACTTGTATGGTTTAGCAAGCGCCGCTAGCTCTAAATTGACAAATTATGATTGAAATATTATCTAGATATAATAAATACACATTGAACATTTCCAAATTATAGAAGAGTGTTTAAAATTAACTATAAAATTTAATTTACATATAAATGATTATATATTATAATTAAATTTCTATCATGTAAAAATCTTTTGAAAACTTCATCAAAATTTTATTTCTTCTAAAGATTTTTTGTCTATAGATGTATACTAATAAAAACTATATTAGGATATTTAATTTTGAAATGAGATTAAGTGGTTTGCCAAGCCGGGGTCCTAACCCCAGTCTCCCATATACAAAACATATAAAATGATAAATTTTTAAATAAACTTTAACTATTAATGTAAGATTAGAAAGTTATTTTAAAAACCTTATTACTAACATAAATGAAAAATAAATTAATAATTATAATATTTTCTAATTCATCAATCAGATTTAGAACATTCAACTTTGTTTGATTTTTTAGCTTTTTAACACATTGATTTAATTTAGCTTTTTAACACATTGATTTAATATAGCTTTTTAACACATTGATTTAATATGATATATATCTATCTATAAATGTAATCAAGAAATGAACGTTTTCGTATCTTGGTAATGTTAATTTTTTTTCTATCAACTTACCTATCATCTTAATGTTAAATAAATCGAGAGCTATTATTATCTCGCTAATGTTAAAAATTTTTTTTAAAAATTTTTTATGGCAATACGGGATTCGAACTCGCAAAAAATTTAATTTACATATAAATGATTATATATTATAATTAAATTTCTATCATGTAAAAATCTTTTGAAAACTTCATCAAAATTTTATTTCTTCTAAAGATTTTTTGTCTATAGATGTATACTAATAAAAACTATATTAGGATATTTAATTTTGAAATGAGATTAAGTGGTTTGCCAAGCCGGGGTCCTAACCCCAGTCTCCAATATACAAAACATATAAAATGATAAATTTTTAAATAAACTTTAACTATTAATGTAAGATTAGAAAGTTATTTTAAAAACCTTATTACTAACATAAATGAAAAATAAATTAATAATTATAATATTTTCTAATTCATCAATCAGATTTAGAACATTCAACTTTGTTTGATTTTTTAGCTTTTTAACACATTGATTTAATTTAGCTTTTTAACACATTGATTTAATATAGCTTTTTAACACATTGATTTAATATGATATATATCTATCTATAAATGTAATCAAGAAATGAACGTTTTCGTATCTTGGTAATGTTAATTTTTTTTCTATCAACTTACCTATCATCTTAATGTTAAATAAATCGAGAGCTATTATTATCTCGCTAATGTTAAAAATTTTTTTTAAAAATTTTTTATGGCAATACGGGATTCGAACTCGCAACTTATCGTTCGGAAGGCATACGTTCTAACCATTGAGCCCCCCCGTCAATTTTATATTTTGATATATTTGTATATATATATATTAAAAAAATTTTTTATAAAATTAATTTAATTTAATCAGAATGACGGGGTTGATGGGTAATTACTAATTAGTTAGGTGTATACGATACTAAATATGCTTTATTAATATATTTCATAAAAATATTAATATTTAGGAGAAAAAGAGGTAAAAATGTTGCAATGTAAGGGTATTAGAAATATCATAATTTACATTTATGATAGAAATCAACTTGGGTAAAATTTAAAATAGATATCCTTGAAAATTTTTTAATTTTAAATATGGGCTAGACATTGGCTTTTTTAAATATTTTATTTGAATTCTCAACTACCAAAATTATTCTGAATCTCCTTGAAAAGCTAAACATGAATCTGCTTTTATTTTTTAAAAAAAAACAGTTTTTTGACCTGGGACGCGTAGTGTTTTCGAAAAAAGTGTTTTTTGAAAAAATCACTAAGTTATAAAATAGTTTAAAATATAATATTTACATATTCTGTATTCTTTTAATGAGCTAAATATGAATCTGTTTTGATTTTTTTAAAAAAACTATATTTTGACCGGGGACGCGTAGGGACGCGTAGTTTAGCCAAAAAAAATTTTTTTGGAAAAAATTTTTTAAAAATTTTTTTTTATTAATACCATTTTCTGAATCTCCTTAAAAAGCTAAACATGAATCTGCTTTTATTTTTTTAAAAAAAAGGTTTTTTGACCGGGGACGCGTAGTGTTTTTGAAAAAAAAAGTGTTTTTTGAAAAAATCACTAAGTTATAAAATAGTTTAAAATATAATATTTACATATTCTGTATTCTTTTAATGAGCTAAACATGAATCCGTTTTGATTTTTTTAAAAAAATTGTATTTTGACCGGGGACGCGTAGGGACGCGTAGTTAAGTCAAAAAAATATTTTTTTGGAAAAAATTTTTTAAAAAATTTTTTTTTTATTAATACCATTTTCTGAATCTCCTTAAAAAGCTAAACATGAATCTGCTTTTATTTTTTAAAAAAAACGGTTTTTTGACCGGGGACGCGTAGTGTTTTCGAAAAAAGTGTTTTTTGAAAAAATCACTAAGTTATAAAATAGTTTAAAATATAATATTTACATATTCTGTATTCTTTTAATGAGCTAAATATGAATCCGTTTTGATTTTTTTAAAAAAACTGTATTTTGACCGGGGACGCGTAGTTTATTTTTTAAAAAAATAAATTTTTGTAAATTTTATATAGTTACCGTATTTTTTTTAAATTAAAAAAAACATTTTCTAACTCATCTTATAAAGCTTAATAAGATTTCCTATTAATATTAATAAAAATAAATCGTTTTGACCGGGGACGCGTAGTTTTCGGGGACGCGTAATTTAGTCATTCCATTTATTTATTATTTTTTAATAAAAAAACTAACCTAAAATTACGCCAATTGAACCAAAAAGGTATACAAAATTCTTAAAACTTTTGAGTAATGAAATTTTTAATTACTATTACATCAAAAAATTTATACCAAAATCTAGAAGATCTTATATTTATTATTTTTTTATAAAATTCTTAAGTTTTTTTATTATTATAATGGCTATTATTTATCTTGCATTCAAATGGGAATGGATAAAAAATGCACAAAATATAGACCTAAAATAAAAATTAATTAATTTTTTAAGAAAACTAATTCCTGATGCAAAAATAGCTACTAATTCATGGAAACCCTGCGATGATTTGGAAGATTTTTAGATTCCATGAAATTGATCATAATGAAGATAATATATTTGACAAATATTTTTTAAATAATGATAACAAAATTACTATTTTTGATAAATTTTCTGAATTAAAAAATATTTTATAAAATACAATACCCCACTTCCTATTAGTTCTCCTGTTGAGTTCCTGTTTAGTATTGCTAAACAGGTTTTAGGGGAGAGGTGTGGATGTTAGATTCAAATTTATAAAATTTATTCATAAAAGATTATAAATATAAAACTTTTTTAATAAAATAAAATATGATTTTGCTTCATGTACTTTCTAAAATAAATGAAAATCAAAGGAGCAACTATGGAGTGGCATTCCTTTGTTTGGAGTGGGAGCTAGCTCCTTTTAAAAATTTAGTAGTGCAAGCTAGCTCCTTTATAAAAGGTAGGTGTAGGAGTTTGCTACTTTTAAAAAGGAGCATTAACAACTCTGCTAAATATGTGTTTTGAAATAAATATTGATCAATGAATATGATTATTTAATTGGTCTATAACAATACTATAATTTATTAAATATTTCAAAATATAAATTAATTTAAAACTTTATATTTGTTTTTTAAAAAAGTGTGATTATTTTGCTCAAAAAACGTGAGAAAAGTGTGATGTATGAGAAAACATGATTTGAGAATCATCAAAAAAAATTGCTGGCCCAGCCCATATTTATTTAAATATAGAAATTAATTTTTTTAAAATTATTATACCCAAAATAAAAGATATATGTGATATGGTATCTAGTTTCTACAAATATAAAAAATTCAACATAAAATTAATAAATTTGGATATATTTTAAAAAAATTTCCAAGGCCCAACCTGATCCTATTTTTTTTTAAACATATTAGGCCTGATCCAGCCTGAATCCAATTTTTTTTAATATAATTTTATAGACCTCTAATATGTCCTATAATTAAGCTCCTATACTGACCCCCCTTATTATTAGAAATATATTGAAAGATTGCTTATATGATTAAATATATATTTTATATTTTAAAAGCAAAAAATTCAGATGTTTACTTGCTTTTAATTAGCGAAAATGCTGGGTTGAATAATTTTAAGAGGTCCTCTATAGAAATATTAGAATATCTATTTATTATTCCATAATAAACACTTAACTTTTGACATGCACTAAATTTAGTCAAATCAAGATATATATTATTATCTTTAATATAAAACAATTCTTTTGATGCAAGTTTTACATAATTTTCTAGATTTGGATATTTTTTGGTAAAATAAGTAAGTTCACAATTTTTATAAGGATCCCATAGAGCTTTAAGTGAGAATTTAATATTAGATTTAAATTTTTTACACATTATCAGTGAAATCGATCCCCCACAAGAATAATTGTATTCTAGTTGTTCAATGTATAATTCATCATATAAACAATAGTTAACAAAATTAAGACATTTTTGAGAGATATCATCATAATCACATTTAATATGAATAATATATAATTTGGATATTGCAATATATAATTTCCTACAACTTTCAACTTCAGTTGCATGGTTTATCAATGTATTTAATAAAAAGTAGAGTAAATACTCAAAAATTTTATCCATTGATTCATGAAAATCATTGTAGTTTAAATGTTTTGAATATATAAATAATTTTTTATCAAGGCAATTGATTAAAAAATTTATAAAAATACAAATTTCTTCATAATTTATTTCAGATCTTCTATGAATAATCTCATTCAATTTGAATACAAAATTTCTGGTCAATATTGTTTTATATTTGATTGCAATATTATTAATAGCATAAATCCTTTGATTTTTATCAGTTACTATTTCAGTATAATCATCAACATGCATAATTTGTTTAATATTTTCTTCAAAAATAATAACATCTTGATCTTTAATTTTTTTAGTCATAATATTTTTTAAACGGATATATGAATTTATATCTAAAATAAAGTATAATGCTAGATCATGACCAATCATATTATATATGATAATCCCCGATAAACAACGAGAAAACTCGCTGTATTATATTTAATATTATCGTCCTAATAAATTGAATGAGTGCTTTAAAAATTGGATTATTATAAATTAAATGTTGGTTCATGATATTGCTTATGTAGAGGAAGAAACACTTTTTAAATAAAAAATCATTTATCCTAAACACCTGAAATGGAAAATAATTTGATTGATTTTGAAAGCATATCTAGTTTTGATTATGCAAATAAATTAAGAAAATGGATATATGACTATAATTTGTGAGCTATAATATTTTTTTAAATATTTAATTAAAATTTAGGTATGTTAATTTAAATAATATTCAGTCACATGCTATGCAGAATGGCTATTTTCCATCCATATTACCATATAATCCTTTATATTCCTACCATAGCTTCTCAAATATCAATTACAACAATTCCCTTAGCTTACCATATATTGATACTCTTCATTCCAATAATAGAGGTTAAAAATTGATCATGGTGCTATTGAATAAAAAAGTTTATTATTATAACTATATAAGTACCCAACTATCATTTATTAAATTATTTTCATGCTTGTTTACATGGGCTCTCTTTTCCTATTAAATTTTATTTAAAAATACAGCCTCCATTGAGATTTTTATAGGTTGCCATGCCACTCTCTACTTGTTTGAATTGAAGGATAATGTATATTTTTAAAACATAAAAATTTATAGGTTGCTATTTAAGTGCTGTTAATTTTTTGATTTGTTAAATAAAAAGTTAAAATTGTGAACCATCTTATATCTTTGGCATCAAATTCAACAGCATATAATATGGCAAACACAATATCTTTAGATTCTATTACATACCCATTCCATGTAAAATTAATCACAAATCACTGGCCCCCTTTAAAATTGTTAAAAATTCTGGAATTATTTAGATAGGTTATAAAAAGTTAAAAATCGGTTTCTTTTAGCTAGCTTGCACACCTGGTTCTCAAGATACAAAGCTTCAAAAGTGCAAAAAATAGCAACTTTCCAATCTGTAAATCTTATATCTCAAAACTATATATATTGTAAATAAAACTATTGAAAGAAGAAGAAAAATTGGTATCAATTTGAGTCTTTACTTTCCGTTTACTATACTGTGTTATCAATCTTTTAAGCAATAAGGGGAGTTGGTTTTTGAAATTTTTATTGTCATTTATAAATTAGTATACCTTGGTAATACTATCATCTATTCTGAAATATGCAATTATACCAAAAATTAAATTTTTTATATAAAATAGATGGCGCTATATAAAACAATAATTATGGTTAAAATTTGTTGCTAACTTAACAATAACAGGATATTTTCACCTTTCATACTAAAATATTTTGAATTTCTATTAAATGTACAATTACACTGTAGGGCAGTGGGTATTTCCAATAAGAAATATCATTCATACAATATTTTTATTAATATATAGAAATATAGATAATAATCAAATCAAATTTATTCCATAATTTAAAATATATTAAAAAGATGAATAGTTTTAAATGTCTCATCTTTATGTTATCCGATAGCAATTAAAGAACTGGCCATATCTAAAATTTGGCAGTGGGTATTTCCAATAAGAAATATCATTCATACAATATTTTTATTAATATAGAAATATAGATACATAATCAAATCAAATTTATCCCATAATTTAAAAGGATGAATAGTTTTAATTGTCTCATCTTTATGTTATCCGATAGCAGTTAAAGAACTGGCCACATCTAAAATTTGTGATTTTTGTATCCACAATTTATCAATTGGGGTATATGTATAAGAATTTTAGGGTCCTCTCGAATGTAAAAAAAGCTTACTACCTCTTTTTTGAATTTTTCCCTAAAATATTATCCACCCACTATTGATTGTCATAGATACATGCAGAGTTGTTAAACACTACTTTTAAAAGTAGCATGCTACAGCTAATGCTATTTGTCAAAAAAAGTAGGACGCTACCACTATCATTACCCATCAAAAAAAGTAGCACGCTATTAGCTACTATTTTTTAAAAGTAGATTTTTGCTTATAATATATTGTAAATAATATATAAAAATCAAAATTTATAACTATTTAAATATAGTTAGTTTTGATTATAAAAAAATTTATGTAATAAAAATAACTATTTATGGTAATATTCATTTTTTATTTATTTTGTTGAATTTTAATAATAAAATTATTTCAATTTATCATTCCCAAGTCTAGAGCGACGATCAGAAAGTATAAGTTTCGCCTTACTAAATAATCTCTCAACATTAGCACTTGAGGGCAAGGCAGTATTTAATTTTATATACATATTTTTTATATAAGAAAGGTTATCAAAAAACTCATTTGAGTATTTTTAGATTTAAAAAAATGCATCGAGGGGATTTTCTATTATATTATCTATTATTTCAAAAAAATTATCAGTGATAATTAATTAGAATTTTTTTCTCTATACTCTTTTATAAAAGTATGCTCTTCATCGTTATTATATTGAATTCCAACATGGTCACAGAGAAAATACATTTCTAATTCTTTCACCCAGAAAAAAATGCTATTAATTTGATTGTTTGGTATACTGAGTTCCATCTAGTCTAGTTAGGAGTTATGAAATACCTGCCTAATTTTTTTTTAATATATCTGAGCCTTTAGAAGATTTGTTCTGCTTATTCCATAAAGTTTGACATTTATAAAAAGTCTTGATACCCTTTTAAAATTTTCATTTTTTAGAGCTCCTTCAGCATCCACGGTTGTTATCAAATTTAGATTATGGCATGTAGGCTATATTGATTAATTGAAGATCCTATAGAATATTAATTAGATTAACAAATATTATAAAATAATTTAAACCTTCTTCTAAGAGTTAATTTATATCAATGGACATCTATTTCCTCCTCTTCCAATACATGTTGACTATCATTTTGTATCTCATCTACATCATTATCCTCACCAAATATTATATATTAATTATTTTATGTTCATATTAATACAAGATCATTTTATAAATATAAATAAGTATTTATCTTCTCTTATGTGTTTAACTATCAGCCGTGGTACATATATATTATATCTCTGATTCTCTACTATTAGAGCATTTTTATCACTTTAAAGTTATCTGCTATCTTTTTCATTAGTGCCTGGCGACATAAAATTTTTGCACCAGGGGATAGCTTTTAATCATCATTGTAAATGTTGTATTATCAACTAAGGTCATTGGCTGAACTGTATCAATTATAAAATCATCAATAACTTTAATAGCCAGTTTCTGAGAAATATTGGCATGTGTAGTGTTGTTAAACGGCTAAACCGAGTCGACTTAGCTGCGACTCGAACCTAGTTTCTAGTCGATAAAACGACTTTGACTCGAGTCGACTAAATGAGCTGCATTGGTCGGCTCGTGTAGTCGACTCGATGGGTCTGCTCAATTTTTTTATTTTTTTTATAAAATCTGGTAAATTGCTAAATGGTTACTGATTAATGTGAACAAAATTATAATAAGAATATTCATATCGTAACTAAAACTGGCTCAGGACCCGAATTCGGCTTCAGGGATTATATACCTAATTTTTATAACATAAAAATGTAAAAATATAATTTATATTGTAAAGATGTTAAATTAAAATTTCAGTGAAGATGTACCCTAGATAAGTGACAATTGTCATAATCGTTGTTTTTAAAGTTTTTTAAATTTGACGTAAATGGGCTAAAATAAGTGTTGCTAACATGTTAAAATAAAATTTTAGTGAAGATGTACCATTGATAAGTGACAATTGTCTTAATCGTTGTAATTTTTTGACGTAAATGGGCTAAAATTAGTATTGCTATTATGTTTAAATAAAATTTTAGTGAAGATGTACCATTGATAAGTGACAATTGTCATAATCGTTGTTTTTAAAATTTTTTAAATTTTTTTGACGTAAATGGGCTAAAATAAGTATTGTTAACCTGTTTATATAAAATTTTATTGAAGATGTACCATAGATAAGTGACAATTGTCATAATCGTTGTTTTTTAAATTTTTTTGACGTAAATGGGCTAAAATAAGTATTGCTAACATGTTTAATTAAAATTTTAGTGAAGATGTACCATAGATAAGTGACAATTGTCATAATCGTTGTTTCTATAGTTTTTTAAATTTTTTTGACGTAAATGGGCAAAAAATATATAACATTAAAATAAAACTTCAGTGAAGATGTACTCTAGATACAGGGTTTCCCATTCAAAAAATGAAAAGTCCCAATCAAAAAAGGAAAATCGTAATTTTTTTAAATTTTATGTAAATTTTTCTTAGACTTTTATTTATTTTTGTTATTCCTTCTTAATTTCTTTCTAAATTTTTGCGATTTCTTTTCTCAATTTATTTCTAACTTTTTGCGATTTTCTTTACTTTTATTTTTCTTACTATATCTTCTCTCAATTTATTTTCTCATTTTGATAATTCTTTTGTATTTTTAAAAAATATATAAATTTAGGTCCATTATTTTAACAATTCTTTACGTTTTTTTTTCATCATACATACAATATTCTTTTTATGATTTTTTCATTGTAATCTTTTACATACATTTCTAACCTTTTAATGTCGTCATTTTTAATCTTTATTTTTTTTGAGCATTTCTCAATTTTTTTCTTCTCATTTTTGATAATTATCTTTTAAAATTATATTTAATGTTTTTGGCAGACAATATAATTACAATTGCTAAATTATAAATTAATCGTTTGGTTATAGTGTACCTTTTTAAAATTAAATAGGTTTGAACTGTAATACCAAAACATATTTAAATTAATAAATTATAATCATTTTTAAATTCTTATTTTTAAAACGCATTAGAAAATTATTATTATTTAAAGTGTATGTTATTTTATAAATAAATATTATATATAGTAAAAAAAAATGCGTCCTTATTTTTTTTTAAAATATATAAATTAGTTTTATCAAAGTCAGATATAAAATAGATGTTTTAACTAAATGGTCTTTAATAAACAAAATTATATGTACTAGGATTCTGTAATGAAAAATTAGCAAAAATAATTATCAAAAATGAGAAGAAAAAAATTGAGAAATCCTCATAAAAACAAAGATTAAAAATGCCGAGATTGAAAAGATTAGAAATGTATATAAAAGATTACAATGAAAAAATCATAAAAAGAATATTGTATGTATGATGAAAAATAATGTAAAGAATTGTTAAAAAAATGGACCTAAATTTATAAATTATTTTTAAAAATACAAAAGAATTATCCAAATGAGAAGAAAAATAAAAGTAAAGAACGCAAAAAGTTAGAAATAAATTGAGAAGAGACAGTAAAAAAAAACGTAAAGAAATCGCAAAAATTTAGAAAGAAATTAAGAAAAAATAACAAAAATAAATAAAAGTTTAAGAAAAATTTAAAAAAATTACGATTTCCCTTTTTTGATTGGCACTTTTCCTTTTTTGAATGGGAAACCCTGTATCTAGAGTACATCTTCGCTGAAGTTTTATTTAAACATGT